GCCTTGGCTTCGGACTTGGCCTTGGCCTTTGCCTTTGGCTCTGGTGCCGGAGTGGCGGCAGCCTCATGCTTGAAAGGACAATTCTCCCTTGAGCACGAACCAGTGTTCTTGAATGAATAGCATATCCGATTTGCTCCTCCTGATGGACTTGGAGTTCTTGATCTCGGAGTAAGTGGTCTTTCTGGAGTCTTCTTGGAGTGGCTGAATGGGCATTTGTCACCATTCCGACACCCTGCATCTGTGAAATGGAACTTGCAGCGGATGTGCTTCTTGCTCTTGTCACCCTTGTTGTCCGCTGATTCACTTCTTGTCTTCTTCTTGGGTTTCGGCTTGACCTTCGCATGGTTCTTCGCCTTGCTCTGAGGCAAGACGGGAGCTGCATTGTCGGGCTTGGTAGGGGCCACTTTTACCTTGGGAGAAGGTACTCCCTTGGGTGGTGTCTTGTCAGGTACCTTGGCCGGTGCAGCGAGCATGTCCTTGCCCTCCAACATTTGGCGCAAACCGATTTGTGTCTGAGTGAGATTTGCTTGTTCACGTCTCCGCATGATGGTTCGATCGATGATTTTGATGAGGTTGTCATACGATCGATCTTCGTGGTTATAGGGTAAATGGTCATAATGCATACCCAAATCCATTTTCATTGCGGGTGTATCCTTGATCTTGGTGCACAAGCAATCTCGAAGAGCTGTCTTGGATGGTATGTCCTCCGGCCTCATCCGTCCAAGGACTTCCAACCATGTCTGTTTGAACGTATGAAGCTTGTTGTCGCCCTGGTACTGGAGCTTCACCAAGTAGTCAAGCGTGATGATCATGTCAAGACGGTCATGTGTCCGGAAACTTTTGTACATCATCGCGATGATTTGCCGCCCTTTGATGATCTTGCCTTCTGGCCGACTGATGTAATCGTTGGCCTTCCGGTTCACTTCCAGGCACAGGTCAGCGGACTTGTCACCACCGGCACGCAACATTGCAACCATGGCAACGCCCAACTTGACATCAATGCTTTTGAACTTCTTGTGTCCGGAATCGTTCAAAGCCTCAACGTCAGGGAATGGATTGAAAGCTGGTGCCAGCCACAACATCCAGTCCTCATTGTTGGGGTCAGCTGATGCCCCGAGAACATTCGCGGTGCATACAGATCGCCAATTATTCAGATGAGTGAGAGTAGGCCAAGGAGGTACCGTCACTTTGTCGGCCTCCCTTCTGGAAATTCTCACCTCTGTCACTTCAGGATCTGCGTCTCCATCAGGGTCATGCGCATCAGGAGGATCCGGTTCGGGCTTGCCTCCGCCTTTCTTCTTCTTGTCATCATCATCGTCTGGATTAGGCGGATCTGGCGGGTCATGCCCAGCACCGGCATCATCCTCTTGCCCCTCATCTTCGTGTTCTTCACCAGCTTCACCACCGTCTCCTTCGCCTTCCTGCATTGCTTCGGCGACTAGCTTCCACTCGTCACGGTCAGCACGGAGACGTTGTTCGGCTTTCTGGGCTTTGAGGACTTCACTTCGCAACTCAGCGATCTTCTCCTCATACTGCTCCGCAACCTCCTTCTCGATTTGACGTTTTCTCGCATCCTGGATTGATGTGTCAATAGCCACAGGTGTTGGCTCTTTGGCAACATTGGAATTGAGGCCCTTTAGCGATGCAATCACACCGTCGAGGTCAACAGGTCTGGAAGAGCTGGCAGACGCTGTGGGATTCGACCCCAGCATCCCGCGATCTTTCAGAAGTTCATGAAGTTGTTGATCGCGCACGGCTGTTGCATCATTTCGCCTTTGGGTACGTCCACTTGGGATGCCGAATAATTCAGCTGCACTCGGCGTGGTTGGGATGCCAAATAGTTCGGCTGCACTCGGCGTGGTTGGGATGCCAAATAGTTCGGCTGCACTAGGCGTGGAATGCTCAAGTGCTGGATTGTTGGTACGAGGCACGTTGTGCACGGGCACCGTATCCGCCACGACCGGTGCTGTCCCATGAGACGAATTGACCTCTCCCTTCTGGTTGCCGGCGAAATAGCTTCCACCCGTGAACTTCATGTCGTCCGTAACGAGATTCTTGTCTTTGTTCGATTCGGAGAACGCGAACTTCCCTCTGGCGACTGGACTAACCTGACTAGGAGATCGTATTTCAGGGGATCGTACCTCACCTCCTGCGGAAAATGAAGGCAGTACTTCCTTTCCTACATGTTCCCAGTCAGACTCAGTAGTCCTTGAAGACATGGGCACGCTCGGAGGTCGGGCTGATCCAGCATGCAAGTTGGAACTTCGTGCCGCCTCCAGTTCACTGCGCGTCCTTGATTGAAGATCTTCTTGCGTTCTGAGCGCTCTCCTGAGTTCGTTCAGCTCGTCATGCAAGGTTGGCAATGCCTGCCTCGCGTGATCTTCGTTCTGCTGAAGCTGATCTTCTGCATCTTGCATCCTCTTCACTGCCATTTTGCGAAACTCTTCCTCTTCACCAAGGCGTTCACGAAGTCGATGACGTTCTTGATCGATCGCTGCATTGTTTCCAGCCAATCCTTGAACTTCGTTCATGACTCGCAACTCCTGGTTCCTGGCGAGAAGGAATCGCTCCTGCATAGCATGCATGGCTTGCTCAGAACTTGCCGTGCTCGATCGGAGGAATAAGTTCTCCCTGGCTTGTTCGTGAAGTTCTTGTGTCAGATGCTCATACTCACGCGCCATGAGTTCTCCGTCGCCTTGAGCTCGGGTTTCCAACTGCACGAAGTTCGCAGCTGCTTCTGTTCGAACCACATGGAGCTGCTGAGCTAGTTCTTCGGCAACTGCATGTCCTCGACGCTGTTGAGCAGAGTTCTGTTCATCCATGCGGAACAACGCTGCTTCATAGTCCCGCTTCATCTCCTGATTGACATTGTTGATGTGTCGCATGGCCAAGCATGCATGATCACGTTGTCGTTCCAATTCTTCAATGCGAAGTCCAGATCCTTCGTCTTCTTGCTGCATCTCCTTGATCTTTTCCATCAGGGTTTGCACGCCTTCATACTCTTGCACTTGGCTCCGATAGTACATCTGCTGTGCAAGACTTGAAGCTTCGAGCTGTTGTCGCATCTCCTGATAGACGTTCGGACCATCGGCTATGGCCGGGGTGGCAGCCGATGAAGCATCACCTTGCACCGGTATGGTATCAAGGGTCATGTCTGCGTCATCAGCCTCATGGGGACGATTGGTAACCATCTTCCTCCACGTCATGGATCTGTCCCGTCCTCTGGTAGTCGACGTCCTAGATCGCGCTGAAGAGCTTCTCGAAGACGATGGTTTCGACTTCTTTTCCAATGTTATCACTCCTCTGTCCTTTGTCCTCGACGGAGTCCTAGGCACCTGAAAACCAGATGTTTCGGATCGTCGCTCTGTAGCCTTGCCAGTCCTTGATCCTGAGGATGTTGGACGTGATGGCGTAGATGCTCTTGGTGAATTCTTCGCTTTTGCTTTGGGAACTGCCTTTGCGATGGCGAGCGCTGAAGATTGACCTTTGTCATCTTCCGTGGAGCTATCACCGGATTGCCCCACTGTGTCATCAGCAGTCGAGTCACCGACCGCCGGCGCTGCCACGTCGGCACTGAAAGTCATTGTCGTATCTTGGCTTGATCCCGAGTTCATTGTGGAAGTGGTAGATCAAGTAGTCCTTGTTGTAGATAGGCAGAGCCGCGTACGGCTGATAACCTGCGTGGGGATTTGATCTTGATGATGCCCTTGTCGCTCACCCCACAGAGCTATGTTGAATACTGGCGTGGTTGCCCTCTACGAACTCAGCCACTCTCTCTCTCCCTTTCCCAAGCGTAAGCCTTACTCTCCGTGCAGGCAGATCCAGAGCTCGCTTGTTTTGCACCCTCGCGGCCAGCGATGGATCGTCTGTGCTCGGGATGGCTCTGTCCCTCGGAAGGTCACAGAAGACGATAGCTATTTAGCTATGGGCAATGTTTTCTAGAGCATGTGCTCACTTGAGCCAAAGTTGCGTGGGCGGAAAGCATACAGGAAGGTTCGGCATTGCGGCGTGCGTAGCACTTCCACAAGCCTACACCTAGAGACGAAGGACGCGTAGCGTGCCTTCTCTCTTGACCTATACATGGCCATGCTCACAGCTCTTATCGTGACACCATAGAACTTGACTAGGCATCGCAGTCCGTTCGCAACTACTACTACTACTACTACCACTACTACTACTACTGCTACTACTGCTACTACTGCTACGGCTACGGCTACGGCTACGGCTACGGCTACTGCTACTGCTACTGCTACTGCTACTGCTACTGCTACTGCTACTGCTACTGCTACTGCCACTGCCACTGCCACTGCTACTGCTACTGCTACTGCTACTGCTACTGCTACTGCTACAGCTACAGCTACAGCGACTGCGACTGCTAGTGCTACTGCTACTGCTGAAGCAGCTACTACTGCTTCTACTGCTACTTCTGCTACTACTGCTACTACTGCTACTACTGCTACTACTACTACTACTGCTACTACTGCTACTACTACTACTACTACTACTACTAGCACTACGACTACGACTATCACTACGACTACGACTACGACTACTACTACTGCTGCTGCTGCTGCTACTACTACTACTACTACTGCTACTACTACTACTACTACTACTACTACTACTACTACTACTACTCCTTGTACTTCTATCTTCTACTTCTTTTACTTATTTTACTTCTTTTACTTCTTCTACTACGACCACCACCAGCACGACGACGACTACTACCACCAGCACCACCACGACGACAACGACGACTACGACGACGACTGCGACTACAACGACGACGACGAAGACGGCGAGTACCACCACCACCACGATCACGACGACCACGACCACGACAATGACGACGATGATGACGACGGCTACTCCTCCTCCTCCTCCTCCTCCTCCTCCTCCTCCTCCTCCTCCTCCTCCTCCTCCTCCTCCTCCTCCTCCTCCTCCTCCTTGATTACCCTGCTGCTGCTACCCCACTGCTTAAGAAAGTTCTTCCCGGGCACCGATGCAAGCTCCGGGGGCAGCATCCGTCGAAAGCGCTTGGCGACCTCAGGTTCGGGGTCTGTGTGACCAAAGAAGAATGCAAAAGAACTGTCAGAGGCATTCGCATGAGCGAGGGACAGCGAGCAAGAGAGCGCGAGAGCCAGAAAGAGCCAGCACAAGAGGGGGACAGAACCAGGAAGACACGCAGAAGGGGACAGAAAAGAGAGAACGAAGTGGGGGGGGCAGACGGAGCGGACAGAGACTGAGGAAAAGACTAAATCAAGTTGAAGCAGGACATTCTGTGCGGAGCTCGCAACTGGCGTAGGCCTTTTCTTGGCCTCGGAGCTGAGCGTGGCACAGAGGTCGGCCGGCCCTGATGCAGAATCACCCAACCTTGCATGGCCACCGACGTGGATCAATGGCTTTGCAAGTCGTAAAGCTCCAAGGAACCGTGGCGATTTCGGGTACACCCGGCTCGGCGAGCCTTCAAACCAAGGAGGCCGACGAGTGCACTCTGGATGCAGTGTCGCAACGCACTCGCGCCTTCTGCAGTGAGGTGTGTCGGTTGATCTTCCTGACATGCCGGCGGATGTGCTAGCTGCCAGCTAGCGAGACAACTGCCTTGCAGAAAACAACAAAAAACAGACATTGCAAATAGCAGACGGGAACAACCCTGGAAGCCCGTCCTTTCAACCTCCGACAGCTCGTGCTGCAAGGCACAAAGCTTGTCCCAGAAAGTCTGGTGGCCTGCATTGGGGACAGGGACCCTGGGAAGGCAGGTGTCGTTGAGGCGCATGGCCCATGGCCGCAAGGTCCTTTCTCAGCCACGCTCTTGCGACAGCTGGTCGTACTACACTCGCAGGCTCAAAAGGAACAGTTGCAGTGAAATTGCCTGTCGCACTGCGATACAGCAGTGAATTAGAGCTTAAGCCGACATACTGTACAGTCTAGTAAATGTGGCCAGATTGCCTAATGGTCGATTAGCGGTACTGAGACAGCTCTTGTGGCTCAGCAAATGCTACCAAAATGGTCATCATGAAGAATTTCATAGCTGCTTTGGCCCTGATAGCGGCGGCTCATGCTGATAAGGTCATTCTCTTCGTAACAACCAAATTTGTGCCCCCCCTTGAAATGACACTGGATCTCGCAAACCTCGTCGCAATGCTCATGGGCTGTCTGCGACCCATAATTGTGGCTGTAATCTCCAGCCGCATACAGTTGGGTCTTGCCACTGCTTGACCGTGAGCACATGCAACACGTCTCACCGGGAGCTCCATGTCCCCAGCCAAAATTGTTGTCAGGGCCCCATTGGCTGGAGGGAGGGTTTTGGCCCTGGCCGCCACCCCAGCCGCCACCGCTCTGACCGCCACCATGCCAGCCACCGTTGTTGCCGCCTCCATTCCATCCACCATTGTTGCCACCTCCGTTGTTGCCGCCTCCATTCCAACCGCCATTGTTGCCACCTCCATTCCATCCACCGTTGTTGCCACCTCCGTTGTTGCCACCTGCAGGCAAACCACCGTTGTGGCCACCTCCGTTCCAACCACCATTGTTGCCACCTCCGTTGTTGCCACCTGCAGGCCAACCACCGTTGTTGCCACCTCCATGCCATCCACCATTGTTACCACCTCCTTGGTTGCCGCCTCCATTCCAACCGCCATTGTTGCCACCTCCATTCCATCCACCGTTGTTGCCACCTCCGTTGTTGCCACCTGCAGGCCAACCACCGTTGTGGCCACCTCCGTTCCAACCACCATTGTTGCCACCTCCGTTGTTGCCACCTGCAGGCCGGCCATCATTGTTGCCACCCCCATTCCATCCACCACTGTTGCCACCTCCGTTGTTGCCACCTCCATTCCATCCACCGGTATTACCACCAGTGTTGCCGCCTCCAGTCCAGTCCCAACCACCCCTGAGATTTGTCTTTGCCTCGCTTCCTTCTGTGGCTAGTTTCTCGGTCACAGGCTTGCTGCTGTTGCTTGCCACTATGCTGGCATTGGAAGCCGCTTCTGGCGTCTGCAGCGGCTTTGGCACGAGCATCTGTGACACCTTCGGATCCTCTGCCAAGCAGACGCTGAAAGCGGCAACCACGATCAGCCTCTGCATGGCACGGACTTGTGGCGCTGCTCAGCAGCGTGGTCACAGCTTGAGATGGAAAGGGCAGCTCAAAGGCCTCAACCTGTTCAATGTTTGAAATGCGGCGACATGAAGCAGCCATGCCCACCGTCATCGCTGCAGATTCATAATCTCGCACAGCATCCGTCGTGCAGTGGGCCCGGTCAGCCTTCAGCTTCATCCTCAGATCTGCCCAGGTGTAAAGCCTCCAAGCTTGACACCAGTGTTCTGAGCATTAGGGCACTATTGTCATGATCGACGACGACAACGACGACCTCGACGCCGATCATGACAATCATGATGACAATGTATGTTGCTACTGCTATCTCTTATGATATTCTTATGGCTCGATGACTGCTTTGACATGATGCCGATTGCTAGTGTTGTTGCTTCGATTACACCCCGGCTTCAGTCATTTGTTGCTACGATTACGGCGTATACCCCCAGCTTGAATCATTGCAAACACCTGTGTTGCAGCTCTCGCTGTAACGTCAACTATGGCTGTCCCTGCTGCTGTTCCAAAACCGAATCCCCAGACCCCTAAGACACCCCCCACACCCCAGATAACCCTCGGCGCACCCGAGGAGCCTCAGAGGAGTCGGAAGCATGTGCCGAGTCCTCGAGGTGGGAGGGAATCTCTTCCGCAGCCTCCTTGCAAGCAAAGGTTCGCGCATGTTAACGCTATCACACAAAAACGCTAGGAACTACAAAGAACGCTACTCTAACTTGTACCAAAGAGGCAACACTCCAAGGAAGCCTTGCAACTCGTTGCCTTGATTAGTGCACTAGTCGCAATCATCCTTGCAGTGGGATTCACGAGACTGACACTAAGCGTGCTCTGTTCTCTTGTTCAGGCCTTGTTCAGGCTGTTCTGGTAGGGATGCAAGCAGTACTCTTTCCTTGCTATGAAAAATGCGACAAAAGGATCAAAGGATCCCTCGAACTCTCGGGACGGAATGGCCTACTTGCACCGTTGACGAGGGGACTACTTTGATGCCGCTACACAACTAACTGTTGTGGCTTTCGGTGTGATCGTCTTGATCGTCATCTTGCAGTTGTAGTTGTAGCTATAGTAGTAGCAAGTACTAGTGGTGGTAGTAGTAGCAGTAGTAGAAGTAGTAGTACAGTAGCAGTAGCAGTAGTAGCATCAGAGTAGTGCTGGTCAGACGAGCAGGGAGGAAGAGACGGAGGAGGAGCAGCAAGCAGCGGTATGGAGTACTGTAGCCGCAGTAGTACACGACTGCACCCCTCCCCTGCAAACGTTGAACCACAAGTCGCAAAAATCAAAACAAACGGCACAAACAACGACTGCTGCGAACGATTGCCACAAAACCCCCTACATTACCATGCAGAGAGCACATTCCAAGTGGAAGCATAGCACGCAGAGGTGGTGCCAAGCAGCAGAGTCCTGCTCGAAGGCTGCATCAAGGGAGGATGACCTGGAAATGGACCTTCAACACACAACGGGGCTTGCAAATGCTTAAACGGAGCCATCGAAGGGAATGCCAGAAACATTGCTCAGATGATGTGAAGAACACAATCGTTGAGATTTCCTATGCAAGTCATGGGGCCAGGAGATCACAAATGGATGAGGGCCATCAGCACTGAGGAAAGACTACGCCACTGCCACAGAAAGGATCCTACCCTGCATCCAACCGCTCCAACTCAGCTGCCGGCGGGCTAGGTGGCAAGGACATCCCAGCAAAGGCGTGGGGTGCTGTTGCTTTTGAAGATTGATGTTCAGTTTCACAGGGTCTCGGGTTAAGAATGCGTTCTGGTAGGCATCACTGGATCGACTTGTGGCGTGTTCTGTCCCTGGTCTGGCTGGTCTGAAGGAGTCTGACAGAGCATCAAGATCACGTCATTCTGCCAATCCTGCAAGTAAGACCACGCACACGGCCAGCACTGACTTTCAAAGACGAAATCCTCGCCGGCAGGGTGCGATGTTTTCAGGTGTCAGCAAGTCTCACCCCAAGCTGCCAGGATAGCAGCACGAATTAGAGGACAAAGGCCCAATCGATTGCAAGTCATCTTATGCGGCTTTCCAGGCCTACAGGCCATGTGGAACAATGCGGGTTGCTGGCAACACACAACTGGAGCCGTTGATCCTCAGAGTCGAATTGTTGCAAAGGGACTTTGCACGCTTCAGCGAGCTGTCCATAAACACTTAAGGATACACGGCATGTGCCAGCCTACGGGCCTACGGGATCAAGGCAAACGTGCCAAAGCACTCTGCGCATTTGGAGCTTCGCCCGGCAGATGCAAGAATGCACACGAGGCCGCAGCCTTCTCTTTCTCGGCGAGCTCTTGGCGCGCTTCCTGCAGGCGGGTGCATGGTGGTGCGGGTCTCTTTACGTCTCTGTCTGGTTTCCAGCTGCAGAGGTGCCTCCAGCTGGCAGAGGGTCCGATTCAGCCAGCTGCTCACCAAACCAAGGCGCTGCAGGGACTGCTCGAAGCCTGCAGGGAGCTGCGGCCCAGAGCTGCGATGACTGTCATCTGTCGGCTGAACCTTCATCCAGCTCAGCACCATCATCCTGGACCAAGGAAATGTTTGCCACCTGAAAACTCAGAGGGGATTTCTGCAGGAAACGATGCTATCTAGGTTCAAGGAAGGGAGATTTCAAGAATCCCTGGCCGAATGTGCAGAAAGCGAGGAAGTCTATAGCCAAAAGCTGGAAGTCTGCTTGACGCTGCCCTGATGTGTCCAGTTCTGGCCTCCTCCGAGAGGTTATGTAGCAGTTCCTGCCAAGAGCCAAGACCACAGATGGCACGGAGAACAGCATGACGTCAGGCTCGGTGGCGAGGGCCGTGAGTCACTACTCTCTTGCAGTGCCGCAAAACAGGGCGCTTGACATGCAGGTGCTGGATGCTATGCTAATAAAGCCTGCCGCGATCCTCCTGAGACCGTGGTTGCCATTCGGAGACCAGCATGTCAACCTTTGCTTCGACGGTGTCCAGGAAGCTGAGACGTTCCTAGGTCTCAGGATCTACGAGGCACAGTCGCGACGACAGGCCTGGTCTGATGCAGCCGAGGCCAAGACGCTCGAGGCTGCAAGCTCTGACTCCAGCTGCGAACAGCGGGCTTCCAGAGCCAGCTCCTCGCGGGGTGACGGCATTCCGCAGAACCGAAAAGCTCTATGCCTTGAGTCCTCATCGGAGAGGATACCCGCAATCTCTGAAGCCGGGGCAGCAGGCTGCCGTAGTGCTTTGAGGACGCAGCTCCTGGCAGAGCGGGCCCCCCCCTGCAACCTCCGCCGTGAGGGACTTTCCGGCCTCTCCGCTCGGCGGCAGATGTGCTTCAAAGCCCGCGCCACCCCCTGGAAGACGTGGATGAACAGCGATGGCCATGGGAAACTGGAAAAAGTAGCAGTCATGACCATAGTGCTGGTAGCGTCAGCACTATTAGAGGTCGAAGCTGCAGGAAACGGTGTTCCAACAATGGTACAACGAATTTTGCGATCCGTAAGACAGATACTGGTCATCACCACCATCAGCTAGAGCGACAAGCAGCAGCAGCCCCGGCAGCGGTGGTAACAACCAAGTAGTAGTAGTAGCAGCAGCAGCAGAATCATTAGTAGTAGCTATTATCATTATTTGTCGGTCTCATGATTAGTAGTACTAGTAGTCGTCGTCCCAGTAGCAGAGAGCCTCCTCAAGGCGGCGCTCTCCCTCGGCTTCACCGAGCTGCCAGGCTCGCCCTGGCAGCTTCGCGGGGTTTCGGGGCTTCGGAGTGGTTTAGGGTTTAGGGTTTTTTGGGTTTAGGGTTTAGGGCTCAGGGATTTTGGGGTTTCGGAGTTGTTCATCGCTTCTTTGACTTGGGCTGGCGGATTGCTGTCAAGCAAGGGCAGGCAGGATCGACATCGAGTTTCGAGCTAGTGGTAGGGGGCCCGCAAAGCCCTTACCTTTGAAACATCCTCAAACTCTCCCACGTGCCTAAAGCCGCCATCTCCTGTGCGGCGGCAGCGCTGAAAGCCTTCGGAGAGCGGAGAATCTGCTTCATCATGCCGAAAGACAAGCTCTTGAGGTCTCTGAGCTTGCTGCCTGAGCCATGAGTGCACGCATCCCCGTGTCCTTCACCGGCGCCACGGCCACTTGCCCCACGGTCAGGCAACGAGTCTCTGGGTAGTCCAGGTCTCGCAAGGCCTGTCAAACGGAAGAGACTAGTTCGCCTTCGTCTCCAATGCTGCCCAAGGCCTGGCTGATGCCCATGCTTCGACCCTTCTCCGCCTGTCCAGGGTCCAAGACAAAGCAGCAGCAGAAGCCAAAGTGCACGGCTTCGCCTTGGGAATTTCTGAACGCTTGGCCGTCTTGGACTGGCGAATGATGCTTAGGCACCTGGGAAATGCGACATGCCCGGGTGCTTTCAAACGTTGATGTTGAGCTCAGCAAAAATTGCAGGAAAAGGCCACGGCTGTGCCGAAGTGCCCTGGTAGCGCTGGGCTGCGCATGCGCACTGGCAGGAGCCCCCACAGGCCTCCCCAGACATGGGGAAGGGAAGCTCACCGCGCTTAGTCCGACGAATCTGCGAGCGACAGGCCTGTAAGAGCCGAGCTTTGGCCTCTGCGCAGAGCAACACAACCAGCCTTTTCAAGCTGAAGACTTTGGGGTCAGAGCCTTGCGAGGCGAGGTCCCGCCATCAGGCCCAAAAGCCTGGGAAAATGGCAGGAAGAACTCAGGATATCTTAGAACTTTCAATCATCCGGCGCTGCTGAGGGCTTCACGGCCCTTTTCGAAGCCTGCGTCATAGAGCAAGCTAGCATGTGTTGGGGCATGTTGGGGTGGAGTCACACGAAAGAGGCCTGGCTTCCCAGCATGGCTTCCACCTCTCTATCTTGCCATACTGAGCCCAAACCAACGGAAGCAACAAGCTCAGCTTGTAAAACTTTGGTGAAACGCACTCTTTCGTGCCCCAATGGTCTTTCATGGCAGATACAGGCAGCTTAGAAAGATCTGCATCTTCTGTCGCGACCCTCGTGCCACAACGCTGCATGGAGTGCGCATGTGCTCTTCTGAGGGTAGCGAACTCGGTCGTGACACTAAATCTCTTCGATGCGACACGACCCAGGAGGGAAGCTTGGACGTTCAAATCAATGTGACCAGCGTCCCCGTCCATTATGAACTGCATGGGAGCAAGCCCGCAGCACTGTGAGATTTGTCGAGCATGTGATTTCGCTGTCAGGGCTTGTCGTCTGCAGCTGGACGGCTCTTGCTTGCGAACACGAGGAGGACCGAGGTGGACTCACAGAAAGGATGGTCATATCGGGCTCGGGAAGGGGGCATACCCGCACTCGAAAGACATTTAAATGTGCGATGCATCATAACAGTCTGGAATAGCGGCTGTGGCATCCGGTGGAGAGCCCCTTTTATGCCTGAACGGCAGGGTGGTCCGGTCTTGACACGGCATCCCGAATCTATGGATGCATGCCCCTGGCCGCGTGCACACACGACCGCTCAATCGAAAATTCAATCAGGCTGACCATTAGTTAGCCAGTCGAAGCAATGCAGGCTACCCCGCAAGAAAAAGCCTGAAGCCGTCTTGACTTTCAGGCGCATTGGCGCATCTCCTCAGGTTGCGGTCCATTCACCTCCGCAGGGCTCTCGTACCAGGGCTCGCTCCAGAACGCGACATGAGTGAGAAGCTGACAAACTGTAGCCTGCGCACTCATGCGCAGTCTCTGGAGTAAAGCTAGCAGCCAGCACAAGCGCAAGCACCGGGACCTCTGCATGCTGGGCTTCGCACTTGTGCCTTGGGCAGTAGCTTCATGAAACCGCAGACTTGATATCCTCATTCACCTGGCGATGGGCCGTTGCACCAGGTGATACTTCCACTTACCCAGGGTTCATGTCCAAAGTACACAGCGTGGCAACAGGAGAAGATTACAAGGGTGTGCCTTCGAATGAGCCCGATGTCTTCGCCCAGTCCTGCAACAAGACTGCTGACAGCTAGCCCAGTCTAACGTATCCGACATCTTGAACTATACAACGAACACTACAAAAAGGGTCATGTAAGGTCGCATGTGCTTGTGAGTGTGCACGTACACATATTCTGTTTACACATATTAGAGTGTGGGTGTGTGCTTGTGTGACTGTAACCAAACATGTTATCCTGGATGGAAAATAGACGTGTGATAGTGTAACACTGAGAATGTGTTACTGTTAAAGCGTATCTCGTGACGCACTAACTCGAAGGGTACTTTGCTCGGACCGGTGTGGGAGCGAGAAAGATCATCATTCTTCGACTCTGGCCCCAATTGCTGCCAAGACGCCAAGTAGCGGGCGCTTCACCGCGACGATGTGTCCAGCAGCTGGAGGTCTCACCTGCTGGGGGAAGAATCGGGAAACCGTTAAACTGCGTCACCAAATCGCAGCTTTCAGACCGGACTGCTAGACTGCGCTCCACCGTTGCTACTGACTTCGCAAGGTTCGTCTCTCAGGTGCCAGCTCTGTGGCCGGACGTTCGACGTGGAGGTTTTGGAGGGCCTCAGCTGAATTCGGGCGCGCTCGAAGAGGTCGCAGAAGCAGAATTGCCAGGTTCCGGGCGGTCTCGGCGAGCACTGCGACCGGCTCGGCGGCACGGATCGGCTCAAAGAGGACGCGCGCACAGGGATGAGCTGCACATCCTCACACATTCGCAACAGAACTCGTCGTTCCCAAGTTCCTGAACTGCGAACGAACTGCAGCAGCTTGCTGCCTCAAGGCCGTTGGCTAAAGAGTCCCCGTTGCGGCTGGCGTACTGGCATTCGAAAAAGCAGCCAGCAATGAGAGAAGCTCCTAAGATATGGTCGCGCTGAGTAGTCACAACCAGGCGGGCGAGGCAGAACTTTGCTTCGCAGTCACCGCAGTTGGCCTTCCCACCTGGCATAGGAAGTGATTACAGGCTCATAACTCGGGAACCTGGAAGTGGAACCACCACCCGACATATGATAGAAGGTGCTGTCACTCAGAAAAACCATGAAATAAATACAGTACCCAGGGCTCACTGCGACCTTCATCGGATGGTCAACGAGCGACTTGCTTACACTCTCAGCACTGCCGCTACGACTTCAAAGTCCCGAACTACACATCTTAGACCATGAACCTGAGGTGCTCATGTAGCCTTGACAGCCAAGAGTTTGATGGTCTCTGGGTCAGTCCTGGGCAGATCATCTCGCTGAATTTCTCTTGAACCATAACTCCAAACGTTGCGACAAATGCAATGGCACAGCTGTGCTTCAGGTCTGTGGTCTAACATGGACGATTCCGATTCCGAACGCTCATGCGGCTAAAGCGGCCTAACCCCAGGACCTTCCGAGTGCCTGGCCTGGGAGTGTGTAGAGCCCGCTGAATCTCCGCAAAAACCTCCCCAGTCACTCATGCCCAGGTGTGTCTTGACAGTAGAGATGCATGAAAGAGCATGTCCTGCCCTTTGCTGCAGACTGCTTGTGCAACATGTCCACCAAGGTCGCTGTGGAGTTTCTCACGAAGTCCGCAGTCACTAAGACACTACCAAAAACACCCTACAGCTCGGGTGCGCCAATCCTTTGACAATGTCTCTCAATCGTACATGCCGTCCTGATCCGGAAGTGCCAGCCCTTGTGACTCAGAACGCTCTTCTCATTGCTATCCTACCCACGCCACGAAACGCCATGGCCTGCGCCCGACGCTTCTCTGCAGGAAGATTCACAGTTCCTGGCGGTTCCCGCAAAGAACGACCACGCTACACATCGCAAGCTGCAGCAGTCAGAAGTGGCACCTGGAGTTTTGACCACGTCGTCGAAGGTGCGGTTGCAAGATAAGCACCTGCTGCTACTGGAACAGAAACTTGTGACCTTTGGTGAAGATGCCGACAAAAAATACACTGCTGGGAGTAGCGCCGTGCGCCGAAATGCACTGCTTGCTCTTTGTCTTTGATCGCCTTGTCATGCAAAGTCACGGCATTACAGCCTATGCGTGCCGTGGATGGAAAGAACCTCTTCGAAGGCGCAGATCTTGTCACCGAAATCGTGGATGGACTCCTCCACCTGTTGCAAAATCACGAGCCCCCTGACGCATGTGGACTAGATACATGAGCGCAGCCTTCTCCTTCGCTCGCCGGGTCTCCCTCTCCAAATCCATCTCGAGGGTTTCCAGCCGCTCCTTCCCCCACGACAAGAATCACAACCAAAGCAGGCTATCGAAAGCTTTCATGCGTGAGGCGGGCTGGGCTCCTCCAATGTCGTGATGAGCTCTGTCGCCGCAACATCCTGAAGGCAACGATCGATACGCGCGAGACCTCGTCGATGTCTCGACGAATCTCCAGCTCCAGCCTTCTGCTCTGACGAAGTGGCCTGTGCCTGCAAGGATCGCTCCAGGGCCTGTGCCGCGCAAACGCGGGAAGCCTTCACAACGTTGGCTCTGTCGTTCAGGTTCAGCCGCCTGACACTTCTCCTCGCTGGAACCGACAACTTCCTGGACCTGCAAGGGGGTGCATCAAGGGACCCTGATGCATGTAGTGGGCTTAGCCCAGCCTCGTCGGCCAGCCTATCCAGCCGAAGCGCGAGCTCCGAGTCCACACTCCGCAGGGCCTGCGCGGAGAGCCGTGGCTCAGTCACAGGTCGTGGCTGAGCTCTCCTGGTCTTCTGAAAGCACGCCAGGCAGAGCAACTACCCACATGTCGGCAATGAAATTCAATTTTCTTGTTGCAGTAGCAGTACTTGTAGCAGTAGCTGCAGCAGATGTAGCAGCGGCAGCAGCAGCAGCAGCACTACCAACATGAAAAGCAGCCGGAGCAGCAGCCGCGTAGCAGTAGGAATGCCATCACATCTTGAACTTCCTCCTATCCTCTGGCATTTCGTACTGGTACCAGCAAAGCACAGGTACAAGCCCTTGGAACTAGAAGTTAACAAGGCTCCGAAGCCGCGCTTCAAAGAAGCTCCCACCTTGAGCTCCTTCACCGCCTCTCGACTCCAGCCCTGCAGCTCAGGACACTACGCCGCTGCGCGCAGATACAAGATGATACAAGGCTACTGGTAGAAGTAGGGTTTCCACTCACAGTCAAGACAACTGCCCTGCCGCTCGACAACGAGGACAAGGATTTTTCTATACCCTGGTTCTAGGGACTGCATTTGCAATTGCGCCGACACCTGTTCGCGCGCTGTAGTCATCTGCTCTCCACGTGTGCTAAGAAGCATCCCTGCAGCTCGCTTCGGAAGCTGCTGCTTAAAACCCCGGCTGCCGCAAAGCTACATGCAGAGCTTGTGCCGTAGCATTGGGAATGCCAATCCCATGAGGAAGGAGGCCCAACGTAGCCATGTCGAAGAAAGACCAGAAACGGTGAGGCAACGCTTCACACAATGACAGGCTGCAAGAAGCCGATGCATCTGGTCGCTGGCCTCCAGCTTGAGAGCCTCAGAAGTCCAGCAGTCACGGGAAGTGCGGAGAAATGCCCTGGGGAGGTCTTTTCTTGGGCCTGGGCCCGATCATCCAGTCTCTCGAGATGCGGCCAGACGCGTTGGAGCGCCGACGAGAGCCGCAGGCCGATCTGCCGAGCCGAAGAGCCGAAGCTCCCCCCCACTTAGGCTTCAATTCAGGCTGGCACAAACTGGGCCTCTGCGACTTTGCTGCTCACCTCCTCCAGCTGCTCGGCAGAACGCGCGACATCGGAGCCTCGGCGTTCGTGAGCCGCTCCAGGTCTCTCTCTCCCTTCTTTTCGAGGCTCCTGCCTTCTGCTTTCTGACTGGTCTTCTGCGCCACCGCAGCGATTTCGGCCGCAAGCTGCGCCAGGTATTCTTGCATCTGCGAGGTCGTGCTGCCATGTGAGACATGTCCTGACTTGCTGAGTGAACATGCTCCGTGAGAGCGCTCACTGCCTGCTGGACGTTGGCCAACCGCAGGCCCTCTTCCACGGACGACAAACGATCGTCTGGCACAGATATTACAGCCGAGCAATGTGCCATGTGAGAAGGGAGGGCTCATTGCCAGCACGGACAAGCAGAAACCAAAACCTCTGCCGCCGTATAGACCACTCGCCCCCGAAACATGATGTGATGCACGGGAGCATGGCCTGGAAAGACCTTTTGAAGGCCCCACAAACCAGCCCGAAACAGAGCTACTTAGGCAGGACCCCAACTTGCTGGCTGTCATACCTGAAGACAAAAGGATTGCACGGCACCAAATCCCCACCTCAAGAACGCACCAGTGTCATGTTCACACAAGGGCCGTCGGAAAGTTGAACTGCCCCGACTTGAAAAAATGTCAGGACCATCGAAACTTTTCGAGAGGGCACTACTAAGGCACAAACCAAGCACAAAAGGTCAAAGAGATTTTCGAAGGATTCTTTTGTGATTCTCGTGCCGATCTGTGTCGGCATGGGGTTCTGTCGGAACCGTGGACCTGCACCGACTTCGACTCACACCCATGATGCGTTTGTTGTCGAAAGAGCATATGTCACACAACTGTGCAAGAGAAGGGCCTGTGGCACGCAACGCTGACTCCAAGCGCTGATCCTCGTTCGAGCTGAGAGCCTGGCACAGCTTTCCAGGCGCAACTGTTTCGGCTAGGGCCTAGGGGTGGGAAGGTTCATGTCCCGGTGCGCTTTTCGGAGTTTTCTTTGATTAGCTGCACTGGGGCTCTCAGAGGCCCGATGGAAGCAGTGCGAAAGATAGCTGGCATAGAATAACATGCTGCATGGTCGCGATTGACAAGAACAGCAATTGGAATTGATGGTAGTAGTTGCGGCAATCACCGTCACCAGCATCGGCGGGGGGATAGCAACCGTATTCGAGCTCTCATAAGGAAGAAGAGAATTGAGGCCTCGAGGGCCTCAGTCCGCTGTCGCAAGGTCTCCAAGCCTCGGCACGGCTAGCGCTCTGTGAGAGCTCAAAACCCGTTCTCAATATCTCAGTGAGAACAGTAAGACACTCTATGACCTCTGTAAACTCAGTAACTCACTACTTGGTGCCTTTGTCACTCTTTTATGCTCCAAGTGGTCCCTCTGCACAGGGACATGCTGCCAGAAAGCAGGGCGTCACTGTACTTCTTAAAATGGCGCCAATGGGTTTAAAATCTGGCGCGAAGCACAACTGACCGCTGGAAAAGCAACCATGTAAAAAAAACGGAATCTGAATCAGCAGACAGACATCAGCCCTGGATTCGCTTGCTGTCCTTGATGCCAAGGTGGGTCCTGACCAGGCAGTTGACCTGCAGGGTTACAACTGTCAAAACTCCGCAGCCTGTGTTTTCCGGGCCTGCTCCGCATCCATTCCCTTGCTCAACCACTCGAACTGGGAGCAATAGTCCGTGTTCTCCAGTGAACTCCCAGTATCCACCGTACCATCTTCGTTCAGCGTCCATTGGAACCTTAGCTCAAGAAGGCAGAAAAACGCCGGCACAGGATACTGTATCGGGCGCTTGCAGGCCAGGCGCTCGCGCTTGGAATTGAGCAGCTCCGCAATCTTTGCTCGGACGGGGCGAGGAGTGGAGTGTCGGAGGATGACGCTCGCAACGCCTTGAGCTGGGATCGAAAGGCAGTCGCTACAGTGCCTCCCTCCGCACACCCACACACACTGATGGATTCGGCCAAGAGTACGAGTGCAAGAGGAAAAAGAGAGGCATGTTGTTCATGTTGTAAAAGTTTGTCAGATTGTGGCAACCGTACAACTTGTTTGTATAATCTGGACACCACAGGGGGCCTGTCCTCACACTAATCTTGGCACCACAGGGGGCTGCCGAAAATTGCGCAGGTACATGACTGAGCGTCCTCAATCACTTCCCTTCCAGTGACCTAGCTTCGTTGGATCAGGTCAGTCACTGGAAGCCTGATCCCCCTGCAACATTTGAATCGTTAAGTGTCAAATGTCTGATTGTGTTGCAAAGCAAAATTGCAAGCAGTGTAGGAGTGACCCTCTGCTCCCATGTACTAGGGAGGTTCACACACACACAGCCCCAATGGGGCGTGTATGCTTCAAGTAGAGTGAAATGTCTGATCCATGGCAAAAATAGTGATTGGCGCACTTTTCTCGCTGTCACTAGCGGTCGGGTGATTGTCGTGTTTCCTGATCCGAACATGTTCTAACAAAAAGCACCGGCTTCAGCGTGGCTAATGTGGTGACTGAATCCCAATCATGTAGTCGTCGACGGTTTTGTTCGAAGAAGAAAGCAGGGATTTTAGGAGTTCTGCCGGTGATCTCCTTGATGCGGTAGGAGAAGATCTTGCGAGCTTGTAGAACGTTGTCACCCAGACAAAGCACCACGTGTAAGAGCATGTGCTTGTCTCTGGTAATGCGGTCGGGTGGAATTTCAACAGTCATCCGAAAACATTGTCCTGCCATGGAGTACCATGGAAGGCCGGCCTCAGCAGCCTTTCGCTTTGTCATGTTTTGCTGCTACCAACCGACAAACGCTTGAACAAGGAATGCAAAACAACATGGACATGCTGTGTGCTCAGGAGACGCAACCAAGTAGTGTCTTGCTGACACTCGCATGCGAAGGCTTTTTTGTCACGCTTAGCGGAACTTGCAGCCCTAATCCGTCCTGAGAATTAGGTTCCAACATCGAGATTGTTGGGACAGTCGCTCATGATCTTGAAATGGCATCTACATCTGAAACCTGCACGTACCAGCATTTTTGCACAAGCGGTTTTGGACCGCTTATGTTGAATGATAGGATGCACAACATCGTAAGGTGCAATCGAGTCAGAAGACCAAGGATCTCGCGATGGAGATCGGTGTGCGTCCTCAGCCACTTGTGACGTTGCCGTAGGTGAAGCTGATGATGTTGAGTGCGAAGAGCGTGTCCTCTTTCGTCTTGTAGTATGTGGATGTTGGCGTTGTTGCTGTGTTGTGGAATGGGATGCTGGTGAAATGTTGCGTGTTTTCTTTGTTTTCACGACTGTTCTGTCCTTTTTGTCTTTGTTGTCTTTCTTCTTTTTTGTCTTCGTTGTGTGCTTTGTTTTTTGCTTGTGTGTGTGACTGACTGCATGGGAGGATGTGGCGGTGTCATCCTTCCTCAGAAAAGCATCAATCTCTTCGGATCCCCATAGGCTGCTGTCGTCGTCTTCGTCCATATGTGTGCGATCCTAAATATGTTACAACAACTGTAGTTCTGAGAAATGGCTGCGGAGTCACAACTGCATTGAAGCATGCGCATGCGCTGATCGTCGGAAAAGAGAGAGAGGGAAATACAAATAAACGTCACTTGAGCAACCTCACCGGCTGGCATGATCTTTCAACATGGTGCTCTTAATGCTGGCCCTCATCAGGGATGATGGGGTTCACATCACAGCTTTGCTGTGTGGTTGTTGGCTGCCGGGGGCAGCAAGTATGCATCTAATTGTCAACTCAGCGATGCTGCTCACGGAGTTCTTGATCGCTTTCTCTTGTTGGATGTAGGAGTTGAAGTAGTGGAAACTGGCTCCTTTTGGGTAGGAGTCGTTGAAGTCGGGAGCTGATCAGGTTGCTCCGAATGCTTTCGTATCCACTCTGCAGATGCGATGAAGTACTCACGCCACCATGAAGAGCCGTTGGTGGCCCAGTGCCATCTCCATTGTGATGCCGTGGGAGATCGTGATCTGGTGCGGCGGTCCATGGTGCTAACACAACTGGTTGTTTTGCAAAATGCTGCGGGAAAGAGTGTATCAATCGCTGCATACAAGTACATGTGAAGAAAGTGCACTGGCTGTCTCACTTGGCAAAAAACAACGATTGTTGTTTTCACCGTCTGCTGCAATCACCCAATGGTGGTATAAATCATGTTGGATCACCTATTGTTGCGAAGCTTCGAGTCTTTCCACTCGTTGCTTTAGCTCTGTAATCTGCCGGGTTGTTTGCAGAATGAACTCGGCTAATTGGTCGCGTAGAGCCTCGTCACTGAATGTGGAAGGTTCACTTCCGGTTTCGGACTCATAATCCCGATGCTGTGTCAAAATCTCCATGAGGGCTGCGGAGAGAGCTTCACGTCGTGCCTCATCGACGGGTGGCGAATCTGTAATCACTGTATTTGGCGGAAGAGGTGAGTCGCTCATGGCTCGATGTCGGGATTCGAATAGGCGTCACTGTGAGGCAAAACTTCAGAAGGCAAAATTATGGTATTGTCTGAAAGCAACATGTGTTGAGTAGTGAGACTTATGCACTACCTGGCACTTTTTATATCGGCTTGCCTTAGTAGCAAATTCACGACCAATCAGGCGCGTTTTGCCTGATGAGGCTTTCAAGTACGTCGAGCTGCTGTTTGCACGAGGAAAGGATCGCCGTGGTAGCCTCGTGCTGAGTAGTCAACACCGTTGTAGCCTGTTGTATCAGGCGCTCGAGTTTAGCATTCGACTCAAGCAACGAATTGTGAAACTGCGTAATTGCTGCCATAATCTCAGCCGATGAATCTGGCTCAGGGTGTTGCGGAGGTGGAAATGGCGGAGTCGCCGGTGCAGCCACTGCTGCATCCTGCTGTTCTTCCGGATCTTGGTGTTGCTCTTGGTAGTCTTGAAAGTCTTCGTCTTCTGCAACCCGTAGAAACTGAGAGCGCAAAAGCGCCGGCTGTGGGTTGTGGCTGCCCACCGCAGATTGCTCGTTGCGGCGTCGGCTGTGCTTGGAAATGGATGGTCGAGGACGGCCGCTCAGCGCTTTGTGGCTCGGCTGCAATCTGCCAGTCATGGCACTTTTATACATGATGGTGCCTCAGTTAACGCTGAAAATGGCTGCGGGAAACACTGTGTTAATACAAGGCTGCTCTCATGTTGCAAGAATTGCACGGCTCTGGATCCACGCACGGCAAACTGGCACAATGTTTTGCTTACAGCTGTTGATCAGTATAGCCGGCCGCGATGTAGAGATCGCGCATGGCTCGAATGGCTAATGTGGCCTCGCTGCATGGTGTTGTCACTCTGCGTACCATGCGTGTGCGGGCCTGAAAACTGCTGCGCAGTGTTGAAACAGAGGTGGCTGACTGTGGGTGCAAAATGTCCGCCTTGTGCAAAGTGCATTGATGCGTGAGGCTGCTGTGCTGAGGGCTTATTGCGAAGCCCAGGAAAATGTTGGCCGGTTCAGTTTCAAGCTGAACCGGTGGTTTGTAAAAAGATGCATCAGTGAGCTGTGCAAAAGGAGGCAGTCGGGTCAGCTGTGCAGGTAAAAGAAGGACGCGGTTGTCGACGTATCTAGTAGCAAAAAAGAAAGCTTGATCCTGCTTGTTGTGATCTGGAAAATGCTTGTGGTTCGTGAAAAGCTGTTTGTATGTGTGGTGCCAACACTGTTCCTCGACCGCAACAACAATGTTGCATAAGGCTGGGCTGCAGGGCGAGCCCATAGGTGCACCGCGAAATTGCTCAATAAGTGACGTACCAACAGTGAAGTAGTTGAGTCGGAGCACTGCAATGATAAGTTGTGGTATATGTTGTAATTGAATGCATAGTTTGTTGCCTGAGGAGGCTTCTTGTTTCTTTTGTCTGCTTTTGCCCCTGTGGACTCGATGTGTGGGGTCTTTCTGTGAGTGGTCAATGAAGAATTTAGAAGAGTGTAGGGGGTTCTTTTCTCTGTACCATCGAACCATAATGCTGTATGCTGAAAGAAACCGGCTCTGGTCGACCGATGTGAAGAAGCCAGCCAAATCCTGGTTGTAAAGGATGTAATCTGTTGAATCGTGTGATTTCCTGCGTTGATGCAGGAAGAGTGCTGTTTGCTTGAGCTGTGTTATGCCATCTCCTTGGTGAAAGGAGTTTGGGCATGCTTGAAAAGTCATCAGCTGCAGTACGTCCGCTAAGGCTTCCCACAATTTCCTGCCCATGGTGTCGATGAACGCCACTATGGGACGGCCTTTTGTGAATTGCTTCTTTCTTTTCGGTAAAATGTAGGCGCGTGGGATG